AGCATCAAATAAACACCGGTGATGCAACTCCCATAGTATCTCCACCCTACAGGGTCACGGGGAGAATTAATGAGTGTATTGAAAAGGAGATTAAAGAAATGTTGGACCTAGGTATTATTGTTCCATCAGTTAGCTCTTGGGCTTCACCCATAGTGTTGGTACAGAAGCCAGACAAGACAATTAGATTTTGCGTGGATTATAGGCGGTTAAATAAAGTAACCCAGACAGATACTTACCCTATGCCACGTTTAGACGATCTGCTAGAAAGGATGGGGAAGGCCAACTTTATTAGTAGTATAGATCTGACTAAAGGATTCTGGCAAGTGCCCATGGCACCACAGGATCGACACAAAACCGCCTTCCGAACCCAAAGTCGGTTATTTGAATTTTCTGTCCTCCCTTTTGGGCTAAAAAATAGCCCAGCCACATTTCAGAGATTAGTAGACAGTGTTTTAAGTGGGCTGGGGTCTTTTTGCGTGGCCTATATCGATGATATAGGGATTTTCAGCGATTCCTGGGAAGCTCACCTTGAACATTTGGATCTGGTGTTAAGCAGGTTGAGAGAAGCAGGGTTAACTATTAAGGCTTCTAAGTGTAAGATAGGATACAATGTTACTAAGTATTTAGGACATTTAGTGGGAGGAGGTCATATTCGACCTGACCCTACTAAAGTGGCAGTTATTCACCAGTGGCCAGTGCCCAAAACGAAAAAACAGGTTAGGGCATTCCTTGGATTGGCTGGATACTATCGCAAATTTATCCCATCTTTTAGTAATTTGGCGGCCCCTCTTTCGGATCTTACCAAAAAGAAGAACCCGAACCAGGTAATTTGGACTCCAAATTGTCAAACTGCCATGGATCAATTGAAGAAATCAATTACATCGGAAAGTTTCAGGTTTCAAGCACTTTATTAGGGAAAGATACAAAGTCAAAGGAGAGGGGAAGTTACCTGGAGTTGCAGGCATTCCTGGTCTTGGAGCTAGCAGCTGGGGCGCATTCCATCTGCTGGCCTCAAAGCTTGGCCCAGGAACTGCGGAACTCCCTGCTGCAGTTCACACTAATGTAAAGGCGGGGCTACAAGATGCGCTCGCCGTCAGGAGGAAGAAAGAAGAACTCTTCTCTGTTTCCATTGACCACCTTCGTTACCATTGAATGGCCTTGCAGGTCCAAAGCCTGGCTGCTTCCTGCCTGGCTTCCCACAGTTATATTAACCCCATTTGCCTGCTTTCCCACAGGCCTCACCCCTCCGAGGATGCCTGCCATAGAGAGGTGTGGGCGGGAATGCTTCTGGAACATGGCCACGCAGCCCGGAAGACTCACAGCAACACAGAGATTCCGGCCATGAAAGCCTTCAGCTACAAAATGCAGAATATCAATAGTTGTTAGTGTGAAATCTCAGTGAATGCCAAACCCAGAGACTCCGTGGCCAGGACTGGGATTTCCTCTGGATGAGAAGAGGCCTCTCCCTTTCCAGGAGACCTTCTCTCGTGGCCTGGCCAGGCTCTGAGTGCTCAGGAGGCGAGGAAGGGGATGCGGGGAGAGACCCAGGGCACAGAGTTCCACCATTTGGAAGCCCCCGAAAGCCTCAGGAGATACCTGGCAAGGGAACCCCAAACCTTTCACAAATTTATTGAATTATATTTTGGGGTGTGCTGTATTCCTAGTGTCTCAAATGTATGGTGAAGGCCCCTGGTCCCCTTCCCTTCTATGTACATCCAACCCTGGGAACGGAGAGTCCTCTACCCTCAGTAAACCTCCCTCTAGCGATCTCCCAGCCTAGACATGGAATCCCTCTTGTGTGAGAGTGACAGATAGACAATCCCTTTATCAGTTGGGCTGTTTTGCACTCTTTACCTGGCCAGGTGTGTCCAGAGGTCTAGGATTCCCACAGATGCAAAGGCTAAGCAAAGGTGAATAAATGAGCCTTTTGAGTGGATACCCGGCCCTCTGGCTCTGTGGCATGATCACCTTTTGTGTTCTGTGCCTGGCACTGTTGCCTTCTTCGGAATGAGACATTAAGTCAATCAGGGAATCACCTGCACACCCAC